CTTGCCAGTTCTCATCTTCTTTACTACAGAAACGGATGAGAACGGGGATATATACTGTGATTTCAACATTGACTTCTGGGCTGACATCGGTAAAGAAGAGAAGCTGCAGAGGACCGTTACCTCAGAAGCAATCATAGGGATCATCCGGTTTGTCATTGGCTTCACTCTACCGATGTCCATCATCGCCATCTGCTATGGCCTCATTGCAGCCAAAATGCGAACCAAGAGCATGAGTAAGTCCCACCATCCCTTATGGGTCCTCACTGCTGTTGCAGCTTCCTTTTTCATTTGCTGGTTCCCCTTGCAACTGTGTCTTCTTCTGAATACACTCTGTGCCAGAGCAGTACATGAAGGAAAGTACAACATCATTCATCTCCTGGTATATTTAACAAGCACCCTGGCCTTTTTCAACAGCTGCCTCAACCCAATGGCTCTACGTCTTCCTGGGGAGAGACTTCCGAAAGAGAATGATCCATTCCCTGCCTGCCAGTCTGGAGAGGGCCCTGACTGAGGACTCAGCCCCAACCAATGACACAACAACAAAATGGGCTTCACCTCCTACAGAGGCCGAATTACAGGAGATGTGAGGGGCCTGGGATCATTTATGAGCTTTGCCTGCTCCTGTCCTGTTCCCTCTTCCAGCTTCATCTTACCTTAGGTCATACTGAGCGTTCGGTAAAATTTCCCTGGCCAGGAGACTGTAGAAAGAGACTGAGAGCCCCATTATTACACTCAGAGTTTCTTAAGGGAACATACATACAAGGCTCAGCTTGGGAGGCAGCAAGATGACACGGATGTCCTCCCTGCCACAGGGCAGGTGATAAGGAGTTTATAGGACAAGGAAGATAGATGGGAGTACTGGAGAATAACCCACCTCAGGTAAGGAAAAACTGCCTTACAGACTTGCCTAGGGCACTCCCAGGGCCAGGCCCAGGAACCAGCATGCGGAGGGTGTTGGGAGGGGTTGGACTGGGGATTTCTGGGAAGCAATTTCTGTTCTGGCTTGAATGCAGCTACACAATCTGGCAGCGGTGACATCAATGAATAGTCTCTTCTCCACACTGAAACATTCATCATGAAAAATACTTTGGTGCCCCCTGATTTGGAGATAAGAAATGGACATCCGGGTATTATTGCTCTCATTTTTTATTTTGGCACCTCAGCCTATACCCAGGGTCAGTGGAGGTGGGAAAGAATACAGGGATGAGAAGAAGAAGAGTGATGGGGAGTCTGTAAAGCTTAGATGAGAAAGTATATTAAAGGGAAAACTTTGGTATTTCACCATGAAGTAAGATGTTTCCTGTAGATTGTTTTTTATTTATTTTTTATCTGACCACGGAAGTTTCCTATTCCTAATTTACTAACCATTTTCTTCTTTTCTTAATCATAAATTACTACTGGATTTTATCAAATGCATGTTCTGCAGCTATTAAGATGATCATATTATTTTTATCATTTTACTTAACCACTATAAACTATATTCATTTTATATTCATTGTTAAACTACCTTTGAATTCACAGAATAACCACACTTGGTCATTATATACTGAATATATACTGTGTATATATATATGTATGTGTGTGTGTACTTTATATATATACTGTATTTACATATATAGTATGTATATATGTATATAGAGATATATACATACTTTATGTATATATTATATACTGTATATATTTCCAAACAACTCTAGGTTGGTTTGGAATTTCTGCATTTATTTTTATAGGTAAAGATGCGTATGTTCTTTTAATTTCCACTTATATCCATGTCAGGTTTTACATCCCACAATGTAAAAAGAGGTGGGAAGTGATTCATCCAATACTATTCTCTGGTGTTATATCTTTTATAAATGTTTAGAGAAATTCACCAGTGATCCCAAGTGGATATTGAGTTTTCTTTACAAGAAAACTTCTAACAGGTTCAATTTCTTTAATAATTATAGGATTATTCAGACTTTCTATTTCCTCTTCTGTCTGTTTTGGTAACCTATGACATTCAAGGAATTTAGTCATTTTTTTCCAAATGGCCAAATTTATTGGTATGAAACAGTATGAAAACTGTGTTACAGTACTTGGTAGGGTTATCTTTACATAATAAGAATGTAATTTATCTGGGGGCAGAGTTTGGCCTTTATTGTTCATGAATGGATCCCAAAACCATATGTGTAAAATAGCGCCTGACATGTGATAGACACCCAAAGAGTTTTGTAAATAATGACTCAATGAATAATAGCATCATCCAGGTATCAACTGCAGACCTTTATTTTTTATTTTTTAATATATTTTATTGATTTTTTACCGAGAGGAAGGGAGAGGGATAGAGAGCTAGAAACATGTATAAGAGAGAAATATCGATCAGCTGCCTCCTGCACACCCCTGACTGGGGATGTGCCCTCAACCAAGGTACATGCCCTTAACCAGAATCGAACCTGGGACCCTTCAGTCCGCAGGCCGACGCTCTATCCACTGAGCCAAACCGATCAGGGCTCAACTGCAGACCTTTAATATCAATTAAAATGAATTCTGAATAAATCATAAATGGGGGACTCTTTACTGAACTCTCACTGCCATTCCCAAAATTTTTACAAATTCTCAAGTGGCTTATCTTTCTATGAACACCTCAGATTTAATTTTCTGTTTCTAATAAAGTTCTCTGGCTAACTGTTGACTGGTGTCTTTGCTTTGAAATAAATCAATCTACAGTAGTTCTCAGCCTTTTTTCTTGGTTTCTGCAACTAATCACTCCCACATTGTCATCTAATGTGTAACAGAACATCCTGATGCGTAGGCCAAAGATAAACTCAAAATACAGATTCAAATGCAAAAAAATATTTGGTCTTTGTCCCTGGTCCTTGCCATCGGGCATCTAAACACTTGCAATTTCCTGAATGATATAACACCAAATTTATGTTAATGAGGTGAGTGAGGGTCACTCCTAGGTAGCCTCAGTGGGACCAAGCCATTAAAGCTTCCAAAATTTCAGATCAAGACACTGACATCTGGAAACAGTAGTTGGGAAGGCGCAGGATATTAAGCTCCATAAAACTCTTGAACAATAAGTGTTGATGAGATTCTGGGTTGCTGCACACATCAAGGTATTGGGAGGGTGATGATCCCAAGAGAACATGAAAACTCTGTGCACACACATCCCTCATACATTGCCCGATGCATCTCTTTGATTTGGCTGCTCTGGAGTTGTAGTCTTAATAATGAATACAACATAATGTTGTGCTCATTATTTTTGTTTGTTTGTTATATGTTTGTTTATGCTAAACATAATTCCTTCCTGAGTTCTGTGAGGCATTCTAGCAAATCATTGTACCAGAGGAGAGGGCTGTGGGGACGGCTGATTTACAGCTGCTCAGTCTTAAGCACAATTGGCAACCTGGGACTCCCAAGTGGCACCTGAAGTGGGGTAGCCTTGTAGCACTGAGCCCTTTACCCTGTAGGATCTGGCCCTAATTCCAGACAGTGTCAGACTGAATTAGATTGTAGAACACCCAGGTCAGGTCCACAGAGAATTGGAGAATGTTTCAGTACGGAACAAACCCACACCTATGGTGTCTGAAGTGTTTGAGTGCAGAAATAAGGTTTTTTTTAAACCAATAACTGTGTTTTATTGCTTGCCTCCAATTCCTCTCACATCAGCAATTATTTCTTTCCTTTCCTTGAATCTCTGAAAGAGAAAGGTCCTACACAAAACATCCTTGACACTTGATATTTAGAGCACTGAACTCCTGTCTCCCATAGCAGGTAGGAGGAGAGGGGAATATTCAGACACTGAGGTTCTAAAAAGAATAAGCTGACAACATATCCAGAGTGTTTTATGGAAATTGCAAGAAGCTCTGAGTTCCTGTCACCTGAGTGGTTGAGCCCCATTGTCCCTCCCCCTTGTCCTTCAATACACATCTGCTGAAGCCCTCCTGCCTGAGTTACTCCACAGGAAGACAGGAACTGGCCACAGGAACCGGTCGCAGCTCGTGGTAAGTTCCAAGCCTGAGAATTTAAAAATTGTTATGAGAGCATCTATTATGTGGCAGATATCTCCTGAGCTCTAGAGCTGGACTGTCCAATAAGAATCCACTTGCCACATATGACTATTGAGTTCTTGCTAGTCTGACCTGAGATGAGTGTAGTTAAAAATGAGTTTCATATATTCAAAGACTTAATATAAAAAAGGAAGAGAAAATGTCTCATTGAAAATTCTCAGATTGGTTATGCTGAAATGATAGTCTCTATGTGTTGAGTTAAAAATATATATTATTAAAATTTATTTTGCTTACTTTAACAAAATTGAAAATCACAGATGAGGCTCACAACTCTGGTTCTATTGGACAACATAAATATATGGATATATCATTGAATGAAATATGTAATCCTCTGTAGCATATGTACTAATGTGCAGGGTATTTTGAATAAAAAACAAAGGAATGGACAAATAAACAAGGACAGTCCCTGATGATATAGGCTGTTCCTGGAATAGCTGCTTTACACTGTGCATCAGGCGGGATCTCTCTGAGAATATAATATCTAAGCTGAGATAGCAATATTCAGAAAGAGCCAGATGCGAGATGCTTGAATAGAAGGGCAAAGTAGGCAGAAGGACGAGAGGATGCAAAAGTCCTGATATTGCAATAAGAGTGGCATGTTCAAGAAGTCAAAGGAATTCAGTGTGGATCCATCACAGTGTGTGAGAGGATAGTA